GTTGCTGAACAACAGATAGAGGAAGGTAATCTAATTTGCAAGTGTACAAAATTCACCTAGCAGAACAAATACATAATATGCATTCTTTAATTTTGTTATATACACACAGACACAGACACACACACATATATATATGAATGATATATTGTTTGTGCCCTTGAGTTAATGCTGACTCTGTTGACTGAACAAGTTCATGTAGTTTTCATGGCAACATTTTTGAAAGTAATTTGTCATTGTCTTTTCCTAGGCCTGAGAGGGTTAGAGGCAGGGCTAGAACTCACAATCTCTAGCTCAGTGTTTCTCAACCTTGGCAACTTTAAGACGTGTGGACTTCAACTCCCAGGATTCCCCAGCCAACCATGCTGGCTGGGTTATTCTGGGAGTTGAAGTCCACATGTCTTAAAGTTGCCAAGGTTGAGAAACACTGCTCTAGCTTCTAGCCCAGTGCCTTTAATTACTACACTAAACTAGCTCCCTCTGCAAAAATCATACCCCAAAATTCAGCCTTCCTTTTACCTTTCCTAAACCCCGCTGAAAATATGTTACAGCACCTATATGTATAAGAGAATATATATATACATATAATTACCTTTGAATAAGTAATTAAGGGTTTTTTTTTTACATACAGAACTGTAACTCTCAGCACTCTTGTAACAGCTATATAAATTTAACAAATCAAATCAATCAATCAATCACCTGGCCATGATAACTGGATGGCCACAGGTTCTCTATCTCTACCTTAAAAGGGTCACAGATTGATTTATTGACCTTTGTACTTCACATTAATGCTCTTCAAGAGCAATTCAACATTGTTTTGAAATCTCACAACATTTATCAAAATATTGCCCAATATATTTATATCTAATTTATATCTAAATGATAAACCACTTGTACACACACACATAATCTAAATATTATAAATATTTATTTATCATACATATACACACATATGTACTATCACTTAAACACACTTTGTCACTTACCCATAAAAATAAGCAAGAGCACTTTTCTTAGAATAAGAAAGAGGTGTTTTGTTTAAGGATACTTAATGAAACATATTCATAAAACACATGAATTTTGAATTGGAAATATCCAATTCACCTTTCTCCCTCTATTACAGTACTCTAAGCCTATCTATTTAGCAACCCATATCATTAAAAATACAGAAAAATAATAATAATAATTTGCTGTTAAGAAATGGACATTTAAGTTGTGAGGAATAAACAAGGAATAAGCATTTAAGTAATTAACAATTAAATGGCAGGCCATACAAAACTAAAAAGCTGCACTAAGCTAAACTAAGACCAGTAAATCCATCAAAGGGATCTGAAGGATACCAAGCACACACAAGCAAGACAGCCTCATGATCCCAGCAAATAACACTAAATACCTTCTGCCACCATTACTACACATAAAATGTGGTAATTACAACTAGTTTCACTGCTGGCCTAAAACTTCAGGAGTTTGCATATAAGAGTACTGCCCTATTCTGAACAAGTTGGTAGTAAATTCCACTGGTCAACTATCAGAAAAATTTCGTTGTATTTGTACTGGGTCTCTCTGACTTTAGCCTCATTGGGTCAGTCTAGTATTTTTACAATTTTAATATATTTCTATCACTTTTGTTCTTCTTTCTAAACTACTTTCCCACCCCCCATGTCCACTTTAGTGATTGTGCCCAGCCTTTTCCAGCTCTCCAGTAGGTATAAGCCCTGGGACTGTATGGGTACACAGGTTTATGTGAAATTCTTACAATGTTGATCTTTTTATTTTTAATTCTTTTCCTAAGGATCCACAGTATTGTATTTCCACAGCAGCTGCACAGCAGTTTATGTTTCCATTGGGCCATCCACCACCACTTCAAAATGCCTTCCCTGGTCAACTGTCAGCTTAGGCTTCAGTGGCAATTATATTACATTAGAGGAGGGAGGGAATTAGTCCCAAATTTATATTTTTTTAAAGGAAAGCCTGTTTCAGCTATCATGCTTATAATTATCACAAGTAATTATGTATCTGTTTGCATCCACACAGCAACGCTAACACCACATTCCCTGGGTAAAACCCACTGAGTTCAATCAACTTACTTTCTAGTAATGGTGTCTGTCTCAGCAAAACGGCATTTTCAATTCCTTAAAAATTCTCTTTTGAAACAAAAACAGCTATGTAAGATAATCTACTTTATTTAAGGAAGAAATTCAAAGCAGAAAATCCTACTACACACTCACACTAGATGACTTTGAGTTGACACAAAAGTCATTAAGCCACTAAATAGATATATTTCATGTTTTCAGCAACCTACCATTCCTTTCTTTTGGTACAATATTAGAATTAAATATGTTAATATATTACATTATAGATAATACTAAGAGCAGCCAAAACATTATAGGGCAGAATCTGAGACATTCTATGTAATTCTTTGTTTGCTTAGTATAACTACATACCAGAATTATATTACACAGACTATACAGAACACTTTTATTTCGGGTGTATGCAATCTCCCCTCTGCTATACTGCAGCATTTTTTTTTTCTTTAAGTAAATCTCACTGTCTCCAATGGGGCTTACTCTCTAGCAACCATGCATAAAACTGCACCCTAAATCAAACCGCTGAATTCTGGCTTACCTAGTCTTTTCATGTTGCACTGCACTTGGTTTTCTTTGAAAATGCAACCCCATTGCTGCTTAAAGACAGGATAATTAAATATGGCATTTAATGCAATTTAACTGAAGCACTGTTCAATTTTATTGCAAGAATATTTAGCTTCACTAACTGAAATTAGAAATTTAGATTGTACTGATCAAAACACTACCAGTTGTGGATGAATGTGCTAAATATGCACATACCTAAGTTAGCTTCTGTATCCCCAGTTAAAAGCTGGCCTTTATACAGTTAATAAGAGTGTTCTCCAAATGTGCCATCTAGAGACTGAAAACACTGAGCCCACTACAAAGATTCTATATTTATTCAAAGGTTGACACACAAAGCTGCTCTCTTCAAGTAATACAAAATGTCACCACAGGCTGACGCTCTTTCTACGAGAATAATGAGAGGCTGCAGAGTGTAGGAAAAGTACAGTTTGCAGTTTGCTTTCCTTGTTCCAGTCCTGGTTAACACACAACTAGATTCAGAGAGAAAACTGCAAACAGAACTGCCCAGGATATTTCAGTAGTCCCGTTTACCTTATTCCTGAAAAGCTCAAGAAATAATAGGAATCAAGCTGAAATTTCAGTGAAGAGTCACACACATGAGAAATTCCACCAGGTTTGAATGAACTTGCTCCAAAATGAAAGAGCTCCAAAATGGAGCTGATGAACACAAAACTCATGCTTTTGGAACTGGAAGAGTCTAGTTCTAAACATCCTAATTGATCTTACATCACTGAGAATAATATTCCAGGCTGATCTCACACTTCTTTGCTTGAAGACTTTCCAAGCATCTGCAAGCAGAGAACAGGTTTAATGTTTCAGTGTTACAATCTGTCATCCCTAAAGACTCAACCGTTGAAGATCAATAAATAAAGTTAGGACTATATTTTTTGATCCCTCAAATTCTGAAAGCAGGACAATGATGAATCTGTCAGCATCCAAGAATGTGGTATGTACATGTATATACAACACAGGAAGAGAATCAAAGTCTATACAGAATTGCACAGGTGGAAACGTTCCCACAGAGGAATAGCAGAAAGGTGTTGCAGCCTAGGGAGCCATTTATTGAACTGTTATATATAAGTAGAGCAGCAATTTTCTCTACAAGGCTTACTATAATGATATTTATAGTATTAATGCCTTAAAATCAGTCTGATAGGACCCCCAAATTTGCTTTGAACTTTAAACTAGCCTTCTGTTTGAATTATCTTTCACTGTTTACCTCCACACCCTATTTTTTCTGCTATACACAGAGAACTTGCTGGTCCTTTGAGCTATAGGAGGTGGTTGTTGGAGTTGTGTGTGTGTGTGTGTGTGTACGCCTGCAGAGGCAGATGAAGTCACCTTGTTCTGTTCTCTCTTGCACATCCAGTAAGGCAACTTTCAAAAGGAGCAGAAGAAACCAACCCGAGATAAAGGCTTTTCTGTATCTGACAAATCTTTTTCAGCTTCCCAGAGAGTTAAAGGGGAGCTGGCAAGCACATTTTGTTTGCTTTCTTAACAAAACCCAAGCAGGCAAGGAGAAAAATAAATAACTGAAAGGCAATATTTTACCATCTATATTATGTAAGAAGACAAGAGCTGACAACCCTTAATTTGAATTTAAAATAGGACAGTCCCACCTATCAGAAGCTCACTATTAAGTGGCCTGTGAATCTCTCTGAAGCAGCACTGCAGCCAGAAGTAAAGCTGGCCAAGATCAATAGGCTTCTCCCAAATAAATACACACAAGAGCGGAACCTTAAAAGTGAGATGATTTGGGCAGGGGGGGGGGACCAAACCGAAATAGAAATATTAATTTTAAAAAAGCTCGGCTTTCTAAAGCTTTCCAAAGCTTCCTTGACTAGGACCCACTAAATCTGCCTAGCTTGAGGGTCTGCTCTTTTCTACAAAAGTCCCAACGAGTTTAATAAGTACGGGATTGCAGTCGCGTACGGGCTGCAGCATACGTGAACTGGGGATAGTAATCTATTCACACACTTACCTAGCCTGGTCGATTCTGATCAGCCTGCCTCTCACTTTCCCTCATCCCCGCAATATAAGGCATTCGATTTCTAAATGACAGAACGCGAGGCTCGCCCGGAGCAGGGGGGTTTCGAGGAAACGCATCGCGACTGAACGCCAGAATCCAGAACCAGCGGGAGCGCGACACAGACCCACCTGGAGCCGCAACTCGGCTCGCCCTCCCTAAAGTTCCACGCAATCGAGAAATAGAAAGAGAAAGCGGATGGATGACGAAGACGCCGAGAAGCCGGAACCCTGACAGCTTTTCCTGGGCGGCCACACAGCCCCACGGCGCGCCTGAAGGGTCCCCGGCCGGGCGCAAGTTGAGCTCCGCTCCAATCGCTCACTTACCTGGCCGCAGGGAAAGGGCAGACAGCAGCAAACCCAGGAGAAGCAGCAGCGGCGGTTGCCGCTGCAGCCGGTAAGGAAAGCAAAAGGCGACGGCAGAGGGCATCTCCATCCCGCCTCCCCGCCAGGCGAACGGCGACTTCGGCCGCTGCTCCTCCCGAAGGCGAGGAAGGAAGGACGACTGGGCGGGCTCTTCCAGGCAGCGGAAGCGGCTTCTTCTCCGAAGGAGAACTGCAGCAGGTCCGGAACTTTCCAGCGAGCGGGGAGCAAGGGGAGGGGGGCAGGCAGAAGAAGTTGGAGGCTCGAGGAAGCGGCCGCTACAGCTTCTACGACGGAGGAGGAACGAGCGAGCCGCCAACCGCGACCGCTCGGAAGCAGGTGGCTCTTTCCTCTGACAGCCTAGTGGCGCTCCAAGACCGAAAGCCGAAAGAAAGAGGTGGGGCCAGCAAGGGAGGACACGCCCCTGCGCTCAAAGTGCCGGATCCTTCGCCGAGAGTCGTTTCCAGCCTTCTGATAGCGAGCGAGTAGCGCGGCTACTGTACGGGGAAAGGGGGCGTCGCAATTTGCCTCGAGCGGGGCAGGGCGCGTTCAAACTAAGGAGCAGGCGAAAATGCGGAATGGAAGCCGAGCTGTGTCTTGATCGGCAAGAGGTTGACGGGGTTGAATGAAACGGCCTGGGAAAGAGAGGGACAGAGAACTATCCAAATGCAGTGTAGGGTCGCTCGGGTTTCGGCAGAGTGGGAGGTGATAGTAGCAGAGCTGACGAAATTCTAGAGCATCTTCTGCTGCAATCCTGTGCGTGTTTATGGGCAGTAAGTCCCACTGTGCAAGGGAGCTTACTCCCAGGGAAGTGTGCAAAGGATGCAGTCCTGGATGCTCCGAACCCCGGATCAGGCTGAAGGGCGCCTTATTCCGGAGAGAAAGAAGCCCCCCCCCCCCAAAAAAAGGACGGGGTGGAAGAAGGGAAACTTGATCGTCCCCAGAATGGAACTCGCATTGGATTGCTGCTTTCTAGAAAGAATCCGCGATTCCTGTTCCTAGCAAAGATTGTGGCCTTAATGTGCCAAGGCTGGGATCTCTTGCCAGAAGCGTGCGATGTGGGGAGAAGGAGAACGCAGCGTCTGCTACCAAGAAGTAAGAGCCAGCTTGCAGGAAATTCCAATGAAACAGCACCGCAGCTGTAATCCTAGATGCATTCAGCTGAGAACAGTGATGCAAAGATCTTTGTGTCTAGGTTCCCGGGAATAGGTCCCAATAAGACTTCTAAGCAAACGTGTACAGGGATATGCAGTAAAAGGCAAGGATTCTGTTCGTTTGCTCCAACATAATTGCTTTTCAGGGCTTCATCCCAAAGGACTACAATGGCTTAACTTTATGGTGAATACAGTGTTTAAATTCTTAAGTAGATATTTTTCCCAGGAGATTCTGGTGCCTCTGTGATCTCAGATGTTGCCAAAGGCTTCAGTTAAATCAGTAGGTGATAGATGGAAGGGTGAATTGGATCGGATTAGTTAGGAAAAAACTGTTGCATTCTTAACTCTGCCCTGCCAAGCCCTTGATTCTTTTTTTTTTTCAATTATCCTGTTGATCTTAAACAAGCTAAACAGAGAAAATGGTTTAGAGGAATCATCTCTGACTTTCTAGGATTGTATTTTAAGGTTTTCTTTTCTTTCTTTTTCTCTCCCAATTGCCTCAAAGGGGCTTACAGTGATTCTCAAAAAAATCACTATGATTGGACAAGTGTGCCCTAGTGCATTTAAACATGCATGCGCAGAAAAATAGTTATATTAATAATTATTTCACACTACTTTGCAAGTAGACCTTTCTCTGTCTTTTTCAATCACAGGAACAGTTCCAAAAGATATTTATGAACCTGAGGGGCAAATCAGCATCTTCCAAGTAATACTCTTGTGATACTTCATTCTGCAATTATTTAATTTTTTTTTTTTAGTTTTTATGAAACAAGCCTCACTTGTGACATGAGTCCTCTTAATGGTATGAAAGCAAGAGAGAGAGAGAGAGAGAGAGAGAGCATATTTTCTTGAGTAAAAAATATCCCAAGACAGAATTAGATTGAAAACAAACTGGGGCCCCCAAAGCATCACATATATGAAAATTATGATTTCCCTTGCTCCCTGTCCCGTCTGTGCACATAGTAACATAGATGTGAAATTGCTGCACTCTGGGGTTAGATAGTAGGTTTATCTATACCTAATTATGTACTAGTTTAGCACACTAGTACAATTGCCCCATAAAAATGCTGACTGCTGAAATTTTGGAGCTGGGATACATAAAACAGTTCCTTTAGAACATAGAGTAAAAGTGCATGGCTGTAAGGATATACTTATCTCTTATGGTATATGACACAGTTTGGGTGATAAATTGAAATCAAAGAATAAAGCCCTTTCCTGCACATTTTCAGCCCTAATTTTATTCATTTGAACCACAGTTTTCTGTTTGAACATTTATTTCACAGAAGACAGAGAAAGGCAAGTTAGCCAAGTAATTGGGTATAAGAGGAGAGATAGTCTGAGTTTCAAATAACCTTTCATATTTCCCACCACAAAGCATAATAAATACCTATTTTGTAGAAGACAGTGAAGGCAAACTGGAATACCCTCCCCCACTAATTTAAATGCCCATGTGCACACACACACACACGGGGTATAACCACTAAGGCTTGTGAAACCATGATTAAAACATGGTTCAAATCAAAATGGCCACTTTGAGGGCCTTCAGGTATCTTCTCTGCATGTGTGTGTGTATTCAGAAAGCGCTTCTGGTAAAGGAACTGGCCAAATGAAACAGTTGCCTTTGATGCTTCAGTTGAGGGCCTCACTGCAGGTACCTTGATTTTTCAAGATACCTTGAATCAAATTGCTCCTTTGCACCAATTTGAGAGCTGCTTTGTACAGACATAATCCCCAGATTTAAAAGCAAGAGGAGCAAAAAAGATGTTCCTACTGTGCACACATGTACCAACACAGACAAAAGAGACAGATTTCATAAACAAGCTAATACATGCCACAATATAAAAAGGATTTTTTCCAATCTGTTGTATTTTTTTCCTGCTTAATCCTGATCAAACCAACCTACAGTGTTAAAACACCTTTATACTTTCTACCAATCCCTATTGCTACCTTAGGATCCCTTTTATACTTTCAAGATACTGCCTCCAATCTCCGTCCTTCCTCCTTCGCTTTCTGATAAGCTGAGGGTGTTTTAAAATAAAAGCCTGTTAGCTGAGGGTGTTTTAAAATAAAAGCCTGTTCTAAGCAGCTAGATGTGTTTTAACAGAATTACCATAGGAATTCTTGAAAATGAAAATGAGACTGGAGCTTTGTTTTGCAACATGCTGGTCTCCATGTTGGAAAAAAATATATATACTCCACCAAATTAGGGGAGGCAAAGAATTTGGTAGCAATCAAGAGAGATCTGCAGATGTGCTGGAGCCACTGGTAAATACTGGAAAGGGAATAGGAATCAGAGTATGTAAGGAGCTGTGACAGACCAATTTTTCTACAACTTTGCCCTTTTATTTTCAGCTGATGTTTCCATGTCTGATGCCTCCTGGAGGGCAGTGAATATGTTTAATCTTCATTAAGTTGATTTAAGTTTCTGGATTTTCTTTAAAAATCCTCATATACTTGAAAATTATCTTCAATATTCCAAAACAATTATTTTACCTAATTTTCATATTTGCTTGATAGGGATTTAGCAAACTTGTGTTGTGTAAGAAGGAAAAATACTCTCACAGGAATGTTACTATTCAGAATTATTATTTGGCTTTTATGTTTTTGTGTTATTTGGCTTTTATGAATAAAGAGAGAAAGATTTCAGGAAAATCTGAGGGAAAATTCCTAGTGGAAATCATCCACTTCAGTTCTTGGACAACACATAGTTTCCTGGAGAAAGAAAAGAAGGCAGGGATTATTAATATATCAATCCTGAGATGTCCTTTGAGTTTGTGAAAACTTCTAGCACTTGTCTGTAGATGGCCCCATTTTTCTACCCAGCTGATAAATGGACCACCAAGTCAACTATTAGAATAGACAAAAAGGAGATTCAGCAACAACATCAAACTTCCTTGTACTAAAGACAGCAGAGTTTTCTTCATAAATGTATATAATGGGAGCAAAGTGATTTTATACAATGCTTTCAGGATCAGGCAGGTTACAGGTGATAATTGTTTTACCAAAAGAGAGAATGAGGAAGTCTTAAGGCTTCACTGCTCACTGCATGACTTGCAAGACTACTTGAACAGATACCACAGTGTGTAACAGATTTCCCTGATGAATACTCTTTTCACATGCTCATTTACGGAAACAGATATTTAGCTTTCATGCTCACTTCTCATTCTCAGAAATCTATTATAAAATAATGAATGGAAGGTGTGGAAAGGGAAAGGAACATTTTCAGGATCAGGGAAAAGTATCATATTTCTAACTTACCTACAATATTTTTATAACTGCCAAATGGATAGGCAAGTAAAATTATTGTAGTATAATGACAATGCTAGTCTGTTCAGGTGGTTTTCACTTGGCTTTTTATAGCATTTCAGAGAAGAGAAGCCCACAATAGAATTATAGTTCATAGAATTGGAAGAGACCTTAGAGGACATGTAGTTCAAAGCCCTGATCAGTGCAGGAACCAGTGCAGCATCTCTGACGTATAACCTCTGTCTGGAGACCTTCAATAAAGAAGAATTTCCCACGTCACATAGCACTGGCTGACAGCTACTATTGTATCAAGTATAATATAGTTTCTCCAACTGTCTAGCTGAGCCTATTTCCTTATAGTTTTAACTCATGTGGTTATGGTCCTTCCCTATGGGGCAGTAGGGAATAAGTCCATTCCTTCTATGTGACAGTTCTTCAAATATTTCAATAACTATTGTATCTTCCCTCAGTTTCTTCCATAGGCTAAATATAACAAAGTCTTTTAACTGTATCTCACAATTGGTTTCTAGGCCCCTCACCATATTGGCAGTCCACCTCTGAACTCTCTCCAATTTATCATTGCCCATTTAGAACCATACAACCAGAACTGGACCCAAGTACGTCTGACCAGGGAAGAATTACTTCTTGTGACATGGACTCTTATGTCCCTTTTATCCTCCCCCTCCCCCCAGACAGTATTTGCCTTTTTAACAAATGCACCACACTGCTGGTTGATGTTTAATTTGTGGTCAACAAAGACAACCCATTCCTTTTCATTTGTACTACTGTTAAGAGAAGTTCCCTCTAACTTGTGCCTTTCATTTTTTCTACCCAAATGCAGATCTTTACATTTCTCCCTGGTAAATTCTATCCTATCAATTTCAGCCTGTTGCTAAGCATGTCTACCCTCCAGGCTTCAGAGACCATAAGAGTCCTCAAGGAGTTCTCAAAGATTACCAAGAGTGGTTCTGCAGTATCCCATGCTAGTTCCTTCAGATACTGATCCTTAATTTAATTTTTGGAAGCCTAAAGGTGTGCCTATGTACCACACTGAAAAGAATTTCTCATGGTATTAGATATCTTAAAAAAAATGTTTTTACCCTGTTTTTCTACTAAAAAGTATTTAAAAATTAAAAAGCACTGAACAAATATAAGCACTGAACAAATAAAAAACAAGAATGATGCTTGTTTATTGCACTGCCAGCTGAAGTATAGATATGAAGATTTTCTTTAAAGCCTCTGCTGTTTCCATTTAATATACATTTGCTGAATCTATCAGTTTCTCACTACTGAATTAGTCAAGCTCTTGGTTCAATCCCTAGTTGTGTCACTCTTGGATTATGAAAGTAGCCTGTTGGCTGGATTTCCTAAGATTTCCTAAGATCTTATTTCATCTTTTGTTTTGTGTCGAGAATGTTGCTCTTAGTTCTATGTGAACTTCC